TTTTTAATTAAAAAAAAATTGTTGAATATATAAAATGTTTTGAACCTTTTTGATCAGTTCTAAATCTATAAAAAAAATCGGGAGTAAAAGGCTGAGGCTTTGAGAATATTTAATGATAGGTTTTCTTATTTACCCAAGAAAAACAAAATAGTCTTGAATTTTTTTTTGTTTACCCCTCCCCCAACAAGTTTTGAAATTTATTCTTCTTTATTTTTGTTTACTCTTTTAACTTACTCATGAAAAAACAAGTGAGTGACATAAAAATTAACTAGAACAATGTAATGTGTAATGTTTGCAAAAATTGTCTGTTGTTGCCAGATTATCTGCTTCTGAGTAGATAGTTGTCTTCTGGGGAATGCAATCAACAAAGTGAAAATGCTACCCATATAACTGTATTAGTGTTACCATTTCAGTTATTCTGATATAGATATTTAGTTTGTTTGCTGTCTGACATTCTCTTCTCAACTGCATTCACCCTATTGTATTTCTTTTGTAATCTGCTTTTTGCGTTATAAAAAATAAAAAAAATAAAAACTTGTTTACTTCCTCTAGTGCATTGACCTGTCGGCCTTATTTGGGTTATTTTGAACACTATTATACTAATCATAGTTCTACCAGCAACAATTTGGAACCAATATTATATCTTAACTCTAATAATGTAAATATTATAAATGCAAAATTTCTGTGATCAGAAGACTTTCAGATTTAAATTCCTGTACTTTCTCATTGGGGCATTGTATGTTTTTGAAATTAGGTTTCAAATTTTCTTTACATATTTCCAGTTGAGATGAAAAATCAAATGCTATATTTTAAACCTAAGCAAAGGTTAAGAAGAGAGGAGCATGTATATTCTTTGTTTTAACTATTCTTGGCCTGAAAGAGAAAAGTCTTTCCTTCTATGAACCCCCTCCACCTTACGCAAAACCCCAATTAATGTAGTTCCAATTAGTATGTTTTCAATTAATGTGCTAATAATAATAATTTATCTAAAGAATTGAATAACTTAAAGAACATTTCATTAGCATGGTAATTAAAAAAAAAACAAAAAAAAAAAACAATTGACTTTAAGGTGTGGATAATTCTGGACAATCTGTCTGAAAATCCTATTTTCACTGAGGTGGGTGTAAATGACAGTGACCCCACCCCCACAACCAACCAAACGTTTCTCTTTTTTTTTTTTAAATTTTTTTCTTTTTTTAAATACCATGTCCTTTCAGGATGTAAGCAGTTATGGCTCTCCACTGTTTCTTTTTCTATTATCTGTTAATTGCCATATATTTTGGGGGGAATATAATGGAGTGATTTCCTATTGTTTTCTCCACTGTTTTGAATTCCAAGTAATCTTTCTCCAAGATTATCTGTAACTCAAGGCTTGAGAGCTACTCTATGATTTAGCCCATAGCTTGTGGTGGGACGTGGGGAGAAGATATGGATTCAGGCCTTTTTCAAGGGGTATTAGTGTGAAATTGAATGCAACAAACTAGCCTGGAATTTCGACAATATTCTTTTAGATATAAAAATAATTGATGAATTACTCTTCTCTTAACTTGAGGTGCACCTGGGAATTTAACTATATTGTTGACATGGGAAAAAAAATCCCTTACTATAAAGGTAATTTACATTAACCAGAAAAAAAAGGCTTAGACAGAAGCGTCTATCTTTTTAAATTTGGATTTTTTAATGTAACTATAACAACAAAAACATTTCGATTTCATTTTTGCCTTGAAAAAGTCAGAAGACGAAACATGTCGGCAAAATCTAAGATTTTTTTCCAATTGTCATAAAGCATAAGTAGGTAACAGATCTTAATCTAATATGTTTCACTTTATCAAAGCTTTGTCAGAGATCAAGATAGAAATGATAAAAAAGCAAAGAGACACAGATTAATGGTATGTTGCGTTTGGGTATTTCGTATTGGTTAGATATGTGTCATGTGTAATGAAGTAACAGATAATATTTAAATTTATATGGCATAGCATTACTCTTTAAAGAGAAAATATTATGAAAATATATTTATAACAACATTACCAAATATTAACATACTTTTAAAAAATTACATTACATCACCATTTTTCTACAGATCCATTATTCATGACTCTAACTTATCTCTTCCAAATGCATAAAAATCAATATATATATATATATATATAAAATATGCATGAAATATACTTTAATGTAAAATTTTTTAAAACATCCTACAGTGTCTCACTAACCTTTATACACTTTAACATCTAAAATGTTTTACATTTATTTTAATATTATCTATTACTTCATTACACACGTCACATATCCAATCAAAACATCCTACTGCATCTTACTAACTTTTACACACTTTAGCATTGAGAATGTTTGCCACATATATTTAAATATTATCTGTTACTTCATTACATGTGACACGTACCTAACTGATAAGAAATAGCCAAACACAATGTATCATTAATCTGTGTTTCTTTGCTTTTTATCATTTATCATTTCTATCTTGATCTCTGACAAAGTTTTAATAAAGTGAAACATGTTAGTTTAAGATCTGTTTCCTTTTTGTTCTTTATCCTATCATTCTGTTGGATTCCTATGCATACTCTCTCTCTCTCTATATATATATATATATATATATATATATATTGATATATATATAATATATAGTGGTAAATATACATACATATGCAATCATATATCTAAAATATATAAATATATATACATACATACACATACATATATATTTGTATAAAAAATAATTCCAAGAGGATAGAATCCAGGTAGAACTCAATGTCCAGGACACAGTAAGGATATAGCAAAAAGGCTTAAACACTAATATTCCATGGTCATAAATTATTCCATTAGAATCGTAAATATGATCCAATTCATCAGACCTACAAATTCAAAAAGAAAACAGAAAAAACAACTCCGGGAATAAAAAATAAAATTTAGTGAGAGTGTATGTATGAGAGCGTGGGATGAATGTTAGAGTAAAAGAAAGCTATAGAGAGGGGTAACAGATGAGAAAGAACAGGAATGTCTAAAGATGAAGCGGGGGATTAAAAATAGGAAAATAGTCAAATTTTCACAGGTACTGCTCATTTATTTGAATAATCTAATTGGAGTTAATGCATGGCTTGTGATCATCCAGCTCTTAACATTGTTTATACAATGCACCTGCACTCTAAAAACACCTGATTGGCCACTGAAACAAACTTATTGTTCATTGTCCAATTAATTTATTTCATGTATTTGAACAACAATTTGATATAAGGACATCAATCTTACTTCATGAAATTATTGCAATAACTTACCATATAAAAATTTATTGTTCAACATGTTTCCAATTTCTTACCGAGAATATGTCATTGTATCAGTTATTGCTGATATTTGAAATTAAATTCAATAATTGATTTTTTTACATAAAAATTAATAACAAACTTTTAGGAGATAACATATGGTTACATCTAGCTATTTTAATTGTAAAATGATGAGACCTTGCTGTCAATCTAGTATTGCACCTAAATTTGTAAAGTGTAGGTACCAAAGAAGAAAGTTCATCAGAACAATTGGCATGAAAATATTTATAGAAAAGGTCCAAGAAAGTTATGTTACAGCAGTGTGAAACTGACTGAAGCAACATCAGTTTCTTCAAATATTTTCTTGTTGGTCAATCCCATTTTTTTGCTTATTACCAGTTTTAATTTTTCTCAAATTTTTTTTATGTCATTCTTGAAGTTAGTTTTTTTTTCTTTTGTTTGTTTGATTAATGTTTTCAGTTCCTGTTTTGATTGTTGTCCTGTCCTCAATGATTTGTGATTTCCAAAGTTATCATCCCATTACACAATAGCATTACAATATCTTGTTTTTCTTTTCAGGTTATATCTTTCTTATGAGTAATGGCAGTGTATATCAATTAAAATTAAAACATAAATATCATTAATTTATACTATTGTCTATATTTATTTAAAATAGAATAAAGAATCTTTGAGTTATATCAAACACTACACTCTCCAAATAAGTTATTGTAAATTGTTCTAATAAAAGCAGATATAAGCTGAAATTCATGTGCTTTATCTATCAAAAGTATCTCCTGAAAATTTACCAATATTGGTTGGTAATACCAATTTTATTGTGAAATTCAATAAAATATGACATCATAGAAAGAAATAAATCAATAGGAAGGTAGATATAAATTTTATTACTTTTCTTATTTTCCTGGATCAAAGTGTAGTATCTTCCCTCAGGCAGATAAACTACATTTTATCTCTGTCTTTGAACAGAGTGCAACTCATTTGTGTCTCTGTCTGTGGAGAGAGAACAACTGAAAATATTACTGAGAAATCCCCATTCTCAGGGGACAGCTGCCCATGGCAGTACCTCCCTCATTGCACTAAAGAGGAGGAAGATTGGTAGTAATATCAATGACAGCACAACCGAGAGTTGTGGAGGCTGAACTATTTTTGAATCTGGCCTGGTGTTGATTTTCCAGTGGGAATGATTGCAAAAGTTTTACTTCTCTCCTTCTTATAGTCAGAAGGAAACAGAATGCATGCTGGGATATTTTTCTTAACCAATAAAATGGGATGGCTTGCGTTTTGACATAACTCAGTCAAGATTTGCCTAAACTACTAGACAGATATACTGTGTTCACTTGGTCGACCTTGCTTTTGTGCACAAACACCAACTTTTAATTTGTGAATTCTTTTGCCTTCATATCAATTTTGATTTATTTTAACTATGTTTGCTTGCTTGTTTGCATGATTGTTGCTGTTTGATCTTTTTGACCTTTTTTTACAAAGTATTGCCGACTTTATAGTAATAGATGTAGCTACCTTAAAGTTTATTGTCAGGTTGTCAAAGTTCCATTCTGGTTCTTTGGTAACTTATATTTACTTAACACTAGATTGTATTCATTCCATCTTAGCTTATACAGATTTATATCTTGCGATGTGACACTATCTGTATGTTACAAATCAAGAATCTTCAGTCCTATTTTATAGATTTTTTTTCTTTGCTTACAGTTCATAAATCATTGGCTGAAAAGTTATTCTGTCCCGGTGGAATTGGTCAGCAGTATTATTGATCGAATCACAGTAACCATCCCATGGTCAACACTACTTGGGAGTAGCACTCTGTTTGAAGTACATGGTCTGAATTTGATTTTGAAACCCAAATGCCGTTATGAGAATGGTAAGTATAGAAGTAAATCTTGTATGTTAAGAATTTGCTTATGTAAAGGTGACTGGACCATTTTATATTTAAATTCTAATATGCTGTGGAGTTGAAATGTACATTTCCTTTAAAGAATATAAACTTGATTTTAAAACCCGGAGTTAAAATTTTTGGTGAAAGACAATGCCAAACTTCTGCTTGACACAAAAGTAAGAAAAAAAGAGAAGAATGTTATTAGTTTGTAAAAATAAAGAACAGTCATTGATGGTAATCTTGTATTCTTTTTGGTAAATGGATATCTATGATTAACTATTCAGAAAAAAAGTTTTAAATATCAGATCATTGCAAAAGTTTGTGCCCAATTTTCATTGTTAATATAAAATGTCTGCAATTAAACACTAGTGTTTGTTCTGGTACAGATTTCTGGTGTGTTTCTAGATTGAAACCTTTCATTGTTCAGTTGGAAGTCTGACTTTGTTGAGTCTCGACATTTAATCCATAAACAAATGCCTTAAAGATGGAAGATGAAAAGTTGCACTTTTGCTATATTTTGTTTTATGAATTTTGGAAAGGAGTAAGCATTGGAACTATGACAAAAACTATTCAGAAAGGTGTTCCAGCTCTTCGTACAGTCAAAAAGTGGTTTGTGGCAGATTTTGTCAGGGTGATTTTTAACCTAAATGATCAACTACCCTCTGGCTGACCTTCCAACACCAATGATGATGCTTTGTGTGATATTGGCAAAGTATTTTTATAGCCATTCCAACAGAAGCGCCAGACTAGATATGACAGTAATGTTCAATGCATGAACAAGTGATAGACTTATATGTTTAAAGAATTAATGGATTTTTATTTTTTAATTCAACTTTTTTTTATTACATCAAACTTTATTTTTAGTAGATACCCATTTTTAAGTAGACATACTTTTTTTTTTTAAACAGTATTTATTTTAATAAAGAAAATGTGCCCTCTAACAGGATTCAAACCTGTATCTTCCTTTGCAGGAGGAACCATAGTTTTATCCTGCACATTTTGACCGCTCAGCTATAGAGAGTTTCACAATCAAGCAAGGTTCTATTTGCCTTTAAAGCACATTCTCTTGTTCTGATTTTATTCCAGTTCTAATCATTGCTTTTTAAAACAATAAAAGGTAGTTAATAAATGGTGTCATAGGAAAAAACATTCTTTTGACACAATGTCTTATTGCAGGCATGTTTCTCCATGTCTGTCAAAGTTTGACTTTTTAAATTATGGAAAATGAACTTTTAAATGATATTCTAGTTTTTTATTTTTTTTATTTTTTTTTACTAATATAAGGCACAAGAACCAATGAAGGTAGGGGGTTACTGAAAGAGGTTGTATGAGCAGTAAGAGGAGGAGGTAAGAAGTGCAGTTTATGAAGATAGTTTAGGAAAGATAATGGTTAACCCTAGACTTGAAGAGGTTACAATTGTAATAGTTAGGAAAGTATCCTCTCATAAATCTGTTTCAAGAAGTAGCGGTTCTTATGAGATGCTCCTCTATGAGATTGATTCCTTCAATAAAACCATTATTTGTCTGAAGAAGTTCCTTCTTAGAATGAAACGTGCTACTGCTCAGTTTATATATATATATATATATATATATATATATATATATATATGTGTGTGTGTGTGCTTATTTTTATTTTAATCCTCTTAATCCTTTTATTTTTAAAAACACATAACTATGATTCTAATAAGAATTACATAGTTATCTCCCTTGTATAGTGGTTAAGATTTTTTGAATTTTACAGTGTTCATGCTCACACATTAGAAATTTAACCCCTGAAAATGATCTTGGATGAAATTGAAAGTACTTGGGGAAAATAAAAACAATATAGATAATTACAGGTTTCTTCTTGATCAATTTTGTACAGAGACTATAAAATTGATTTCTGAACTTGAGAGGATTAAAATAAAATTAAATGATTGAGGTTACCTTCAGCATCCTGACTCCAGAGTTTTGTAGGTGGACCTGTCTGTTCACTCCTCAGGGAGTATCATAAAGTATATAATAAACAAATTAACAAACTGAATACACACAAACACAAGTAAATTTAATAATAATAATTAACAACAAATAATTAATGAATAAATACAAAATACTCTAATAATGAATTAAAATGAATTAAAAGTTAACAAACAACACTATACAGTAGCTACAAACAACCGCATTTGGATCCATAATTATTTCTACTCAATAGCATTTAGAATAATTTGAAATATAATTATTACCATCTACCCAATAACCATTAGGATAATACAATAAACTGGAAATATTTGCCCAATTGATCAACATATATAAATAGTTGAGCCAACACACATGGCCTGAAGATTGCGTTCACATGTGAATCAGATTGTCACCACTTGGTGTTTTCTTCAGTGTTGACGTTTATATTTTATGTCATATATATATATATATATATATATATATATAATTTTTGTAATTTATAGGACCATCGTTTGAAGAGATGGTGTCGAGCATGACAAGCATGACATCCAGCTTGCAGATGGCTGAGGAGATGCTAAAAAATGAGAAAATAGAAAAAAATTCCAAATATGATGGCGCAAATATTTTTGCTGACACCATTGACTCTGGTAAGAATTCAAACTCTTACTTATTTTGATTATGTTGCAATTTTTGCTGATGTTTATTCAATTTTCATGGTTTCATTTGTTTATTAATATTTATAGTTTTATAAACTTATCAATAAGGCAGTCAAATGGAAATGTTGCATTGGTAAAATTGTATGTAGACCGAAGGAAGTCAAAATCCAGAGCTTTGATTATACTGCTGCAGGTTTTCCAGTGACTGGGGTAGTCAGCAATCGACTAGCTCTCACTCTTTCTTTCCAAGCATATCCCTGGCAAGTGGGCTAATGTGGGCAAGGCTGCACTCATACATCCCTCCAATTGCAGTCCTTACACATCTTCCTAGGTCTACCTTGTCCTCTGTGACCAGGAACCCTGAACCCCCGAGACACTCCTGATGCATGACAAAGCTCACTGGGCGTGACCAAACTACCCAAAACAACAGGAAAGCAGCACTGATGTTATATCCTCAATACTGAGCCTTGTTAACAACTCTGATGAGGGGGTTTCATTATGGGGCTTGGTTTTGCATATCATTGAGTGGTCATTGCAGCAGAGCTGCTGCAAGACTGAAGCACTTGGTGTCCAAGCCTTACTGCCAAGGAGCAGTGCAGATCATACATAAATTCTCAATGATACATATTGTTGTGGTAGGATCCACCTAATTTGCATATTGGAGTACCGACCATATAACTATGGTTGGTACCGGGAAGAGAAGGAGGAATCAAGAGATTCAACCAGAGACTCTGCCCAACTGCGACTCAGTCAACACATTCTCCAGGAACGGTCTTACCAGGAATATACAAAAGACAATATGTAAATATTGTGTACACTTTCTTGTTTCAATACATTTTGTTCTAAGTACATTTGTGTTGCATTGTTATTCCATGCATTAGTCAAGTTTCAACACATATTTGGATGTGAGAATGGGTAGGAGCTTTCGGAATTTTCCCCAAGCCACAGAGAACCTGGCTATAATGGTGAGCTCACAACCTCCACCTGGACAGAGCATATCCCCCAAAAAAAAGAAACCGGGCTCAACATCCATTGTTGAACCATCCAAAATGACTTGTGTAGTGGGCCTGTGATCAATAGGGTGCACTTTGCCATCATATGTAGGGTAGATGTAATCTGATAGTTTTGGTAGCCTACCTTTAGTAGGAAAAAAAAAATGTCATCAGGAAATGGACTAAAAAGACCAATTCCTTTCAACCTGCCAGGTACACCAAGTACATCAAGTATCCAATTACCAACATTTTTTTTCTCTTCTTAAAGAAAGCGCTTAAGAGGTTACATTTTCTCATTGAATACAATTAATGAAGGCTGAAGAATGAATAGGCCCAGATATTTTTAACAGCAATAAAAAACGGTTCAGTTATCTGAATAATATTGATTAATTTATTATCTCTTCTCAAATTTAAAATATTTTTATCTATTTATTTTATTATTTTTTTTACACAGGTTTGTTATAAACAGGAAAGTCACATTTGATATGTTGATTATTTGAATTTCATATTTTAATACGAGTTGTATGGAAGAATATTAATCACTGATAAATAATATTTGAGTTACATTACTTCATATTTTCAAGATCTAACTTTGAATTCACTTATAGGCTTTTATTTATAGATTATTAATGTTATATTGTATTTCTCTATGGGGAAAAAGCTGAAATGTTCTTGGCCCAACCAAGAAGCCCTTTCTCCCAAAATTCTGATATGGGCCAGATTTTCAGCATCTCTTTTTATATATGACAGTGGGTGCTGTAAAGTATATGCACATATTTCTTTTTTTCTGAATAATAAAGTACAGTGATAGAATTTATTTATTTCATAAAGATTCATGATATTATCTGGACAATACTTTCGATCAAGAAGTTATATGAATGAAACAACTTAGCATATTTGGAAGAAATGTACATTATGACAATTTCAAATCATTCGGTTCATTTATTAAATTGTCTATTGCTTTTTAATTACAGTGCTATCACGTGTAAAAGTAAGTATAAATGACATCTCCATCTGCTTGGACCATTTGGTAAAGGATTCTAGTAACCAGAAACTACGGCTGGAGATGAGGATACAACGGTAAGTAAACTTACAAGATGCTGCTTTCTGTCTGGATTTCTATGATGAGGAGTTATTGTGATTTCCATTTGGGTGTTATTGTTATCACAATGATTTGTCTGTTGTGCCCTCTGGTTTCCTTTCAATGTCTCTTGATCAGGGAAAGCATGAAGAGTTATTATATACAATCAAACTAATGTCCTCATCTTCATTTTTATTACTACAAAGGTTTAACCATTTTGCCATCTGGTCTTCTTCAGGTGTCTGTTGATAAAGAATTTCTGGGATGAAGAGTTATCATTATTTACATTTGGACTAATGTCCTTATCACAATATTTTGGCAGTTGTGACAAGAACAGGCACACAAACTCCTCTTATTCTCCATTAACATGTTCAACTCACATGATGAGTTTTACTCTTTTTTGATAATTTAAAAAAAATGGAAATGTTCACTAGCCAGACATGTTTGGACAGTCTGCCCTGTTTGGGGACAGATTGGTAACATATACCTTTATGCCATGTTTCATGACAAATTTACTACAAGTCGGAGACAGTTGATCCTTTGCATATTTCTGCTTGCTAGCTAGCAAAACATCCAGGCCATTGGCTGGTGGTTAAGTGTGCATGTCACCTTGATGCTTGAGTGTATTCCATTGTGATGTATGTGTGTATGGTTGTCTTGATAGGTGAGTGTATGTTCATACTGCAATCCTAATAAATACAGTTTTTCATTTGTTGGTCTATTGCTGTAACAACGCATTCAAACCTGTCACTTTCTGACCTTCTATCCGATTTATTGAATGATAATGAAAAACAAAACAAAAAGATACTTTTTTCTGAATCATTGCTTTTGTTTCTCTCACATTTGTCTCAGAAAATTTCCTTTTGGCAATGAAAACTTACGCTACCTTTTTAATTTTACTGATGCTATTCAGATTTTTGTTAAGTATTTTGACATCATTGAATTGAATTTGTTGTAAAATAATTTCCTTTTCACTAACGTGTTTGATTGTCTATCTTCTATGCAATTTAAAAGTGAAGAAAAAAAAGCTCATTCAAACATATTGTAAAGCTTTGCTGAATCCTAAAACATCACCTGATGATGATAGGTAACTTGTTAAATTAGATTCTAGAAATTGTAAGCATTTTTAAAAATATTAATACTCAAAATAGTTAAGAAGTGTAAGAATTTTTTTTTTAAAGTTTTTGTAAGAAATGATGAAATAATAGCAATAAACAAAACAGTTAACATTATTATTTATTGATATTAATTTTTAACTAGTATTTCATTCATCTTCAATTCAGATACTTTTTATTGCAACTATCAGTTTATCATTCGAGGAGTGTTAGTATTTTGTTGTCTGAAAAGTTTGTTTATTTATAAAGTAGAAAATTTAATAAAGTGAACAAACTTTTTGGTTACCCCAATAGAATAGCTATATGGTTAGGTTTGAATGACTGCAGCCTTTGTAACCTAATCGGTAAGGCAGCTGTTGCATTAAAACTGACTCTCAACGATAATAAAAGGTGAGGGTTCAAGCCACACTAGTTGCTTTATTTATTTCTAACCTGGCAATTTCAATAAAAAGCAACTGAAATTAAGATGAAAAAAATACTAATCATACTAATACAAATGATAACTGGCAACTTCATCTAAGAAATCAAAAATAGTATTATCATCATTATCATTTGTTTTTTCAGCATAAAATGAAAATTGTTTTATGCTAAACATATTCTTGAGTTGTTATTTTATTCATATTTAAAATAACAATGTAACATTAATATTTCATTGGACAATAGACATGAATTATTCATTGGACAATAGACATGAATTATTCATTGGACAATAGACATGAATTATTCATTGGACAATAGACATGAATTATTCATTGGACAATAAACAAAAATTATGTTTTTAAACTCTGCTTTAATTTAGGAAGCAGCTGGATATAAAAGTTTTGATATGATTTAATTTCAGAATGGACTTTTTTGACGATATGGCTGTCAATGAAAGTGTAACCACAGATGCCTCTGGCAGGAAAAAATGGGAACCTTCAGCAATTGCTTGTAAGAATTTCAAGCTGTCAGGAGTTACATTCCATGTTGAGGAATGTACTGCATCCTCAGCGGATATGTATGACATTTCACGAAGTAGCTCCAGTGATTCTTCAACACAGGTTTGTGAAGAATTTTAAAACCATAAGATTGCCACTACAAATCTCTTGTCTTCATAGAAGTATTTTTTTTAAAAAAGTGAATCCTGTTTTCATAATTACATGTGTTATCTGAATAAATAATGATTTTCTATTTGATTTTTTAAAAAGTTTATCAGCATTTTTAGCATTATTATTTTTGTATACAAATAATCTCTCTCTCTTTCTCTCATCTTCTACATTCCAAGGTGTTGAGGCTGTTTCCATAGTAAGTACGTTTTTCATAGAGTTGTTAGTCCCATGCCCAATTAGTTTTGAATTCAGTTATCCTTCTCCAAGAGTGGTTGCCAACTAAAGTTGAAGAATGAATTCTTCTTTTCAGCCATACTATTACCCATAGCTAGGGAGGAGAAGAGATGCTTTCATACCTTTCTCAAGAGTGTGAAAGTGAGAGTAACAAGCTTGACTGGAATTCAAACTCATCTTGTTGATTTCTTGCTGCACATCCTATATAAATAATTACTATTTGAAAATATTTTCAATTTAGGAATTTGATGGTAGATCCTTTAAACAGGAAGCTTTTAGTAAATCTTCTTTTTTCTTTGTCTTACTTCTGTTAAATGTTGTCAGTTTCATTTTATGCTGATGAATGTTAAGAATATCATAGACAGAGCATGTGATTTAACAAGGTAGTTTTAAGAAGAATTGTCACTAATAATCAGAAAGAGATTGAAATTTTGAGACACAGAGTGAGGAAGGAAGATTTGGGGAATTTAACACTGTCAGGTCCTACCAAGGACAAGAGAAGCAGAGGAAAGTAGCAAGTAACCTAATTGACACATTTTATCAAATGGATGAGAGAATAAGGACCACAAAGACAACAAGGATTTGTGAAGGTACAAGTATAGCCAAGAACAACGAAAGACTGGAGCATGACTATCCATGTACAGAAGGAACATGACACGTATATAGAAAGAAATTTGAACTTCTATATATATAATGCACAGTGTACATGTGTCTGTTTGTTTTTTGATCTTGGTGAATCATAAACAACCTGAAGTAACAGGTACTAACTACTGTAGTTACATGTGATTAAAAATTAAATAAATATCTCATTTAAAGTTAAATTTAAATATAAAACAGAGTGAAAGGTTTTAAAAAAATCTTTACTAAAGGTTTTGCTTTAATTTCGCTTTTCATTGCAATTGCATTTGATATCGTCTAATTAAACTGTAATTAAAACTTAAGTGCAGTATGTTGTGCATATGTTTCTTTTTCTAGCATGCGTAGTGATGTATTCAAAATATTAAATAGTTTGGGTTCCCTGATGTATTTTAAAAGTGACTTTATATGAAGGGATTATAAAGAATGATTTTAAAAGAAAAAAAAATTGTATGCAAAATAAATGTAAACAGACTATGGAGATCAGTTGTGTATTTGAAGAAAGGTTATGTCAAATTAAGATGTCAAATAAAGATAAAATAATTTTATTTTCTAAATTCTTATAACTATTACATACATAGGACGCTGAAGGTAAAAGGCCAAAGGGCAGCTTCTTGGCGAGTATAGAATATACTGTATGTTAAATATTACAAAGAGTATATTTAGCAAGAAATGATGTATGCTTTTATTAAGTCTTTTAAATCAATTTTAATTTGTACTCCATAATTCTTGAACAAGCAAGATCAGATATTAATCTTTACTATCAATAAAAACAGGAGTGAATTTTGCATTTTGTGTTCAGAATACAATTATGAGATCAATTGATCTATGATGCTGTCCAAATGTTTTGGAACATTTAAAAAGATTCATCAATCCACTCAGCTGCTCAGTTACCTAGTGTTCCCGTGTCTTGACAGACATTTCACACATCTTTTAAAATCACTCAACCACTGAAAAAAAATCATTTTCTATAAATTTCTTTTTTTTCTTTCTTTAGGGAAGACATTTTGCTTCTTACCTCCCCAACCTTGTTTTCTATTATAGTATATTTATTTCTGATCAGTCCTTACTAAGTTTTTACTATTAACTCATTTACTATAAATGTCTGCCATTGCTCAATAATTACCTAATTTGGTGCAATGGTTGCCATGCTAGTATCACTGATAGTGAGATTGTACCTATCTGGATATTCCATGAATATTGTCCAAAGTTGGTATAGTGTGATAAATATTGATAAGGTGATGTTAATTCTACATGCAATATTTTAGTAATTGTTTATATAGATTGTTTCTTGATGTTACAGTAGAAGTCTGATAACATTTCTGCAAATGTTGATAATCCTTTTTCTCTCAACTGTAACATGACTTCCCTGTGCCTTTTCTATAAATATTTTCATGATAATTCTTCTGATTAGATTTCCTCTTTGGTATCTAGATTTTATGAATTTAAGTGCAGTACTAGATTGGCCTCAAGGTCTCATCACTTTACAGTTGAAATGGCTAGATGTAAGTGCACATTCTATGCTAACAGTTTCTTTTCTTGCACTTTTTGCTTGTGGAACTTTTTTCTTAGCTTCTTGCTTTCCATTCTAGTTTGATCTTCAAAACTTTAAATACAATGTCAATCATCTTCTTAATTCCTATTCTTTTATTGTTCTCTCTCCTTAATAATGTATTTTTTCTCATATTTTGTCACACTCAGTAACCCCTTTGTGTCTTAGTGACTTTATTGCCTTTCTTGGGGTCAAATGGTTTTAAAAAACCTCAAAAAACTGTAGTTTACTCTCCTTATTTACTCCCTTTCTACATTTTATTGATATTTACTATGCTTCGTTTTGTATGGCACATGGCCACAAATTGTGGAGCATTTCATGAGGATTTAATGATATTTGACACTAGCATAGTAGAAACAATATTTTTATTTTTTGACTTTTAGTGTTTATTTATTTTTTTTTAAAATCGTTTCACCCCAAGCAAGACAACAATACCACTAGAACTCAGGGAGTAAAATTGAAAGAGAATAAGAAGACTGAGAGTGGGAAGGATTGAGGAAAGGACAAAAAATGGAACAGGGTTCAAAAAACAGAAGATGGCAATGACATTGCATTTAAATTTTTGAAGATTGTAGTTGTCAAGAAATCAGAAGGGAGTTCCACAGGTGGGAAGTGCGAGCAAAGAACCTGTTAAGATGGAAATGGTAGTTGCATCTAGCTAGTTCAACAGTAAAATGGTGAGACCTAATTGCCAATCTAGTAGCATGCTTAAATTCATGTAGTATCAACACTAAATCATCTTTTTTGTGACTGACCTTTTAGCTTGCTCTTTCTCTGATCAAAATAATGACTGTTAGACTGTTTTATAGAATCAATAAAATTGAAATTATTATTTTTTGGAAACCTGACATTTTAACCATACTCTTGGAGATAGGTCGGTTCTAGACTGACTTTTGCAAAATCATATTCGAGCAGAGATAATGGAGAAGGCTAATCTTGGCATATAGTTAGTACAAAGAGTTGTGCGAAAAACAACTCTTGTTAGAATTTAGGAAAATGAAAATGAACTTCATTACTATTTACATTCAGATTATTGTCCCCATATTATTATCACAGCGCTTTTGACTATTGTGCCCTTAGATGCTTGTCAATCCAGTTAACCTTCAGGGAATTTCAAACTGAACCCTTTATTTAGTCTAAGTGGGTAGCAGGGTGGTTAATAACAGAGCAGTACACAATAAGAACAATAAGATATCCCTAGGCATCAACAGTGGAACAAGAACAATTGACACTATTATATTGTTTATTGGAATGGTTGTTAAAACATCAGCTAATTGCCAACTGGTCCAAACCTTATAAAATGGTAAATAAGGATTTCCTTATAGTTGGTTCACATATTTTTATAATTTAGTAACTGTTTATAAATTTATGAATAAAAAATAGTTTTCATGTTCTTTATAAATTGGTAAATGATAAATAATGCATTGCATTAGTTCTAATTGTATTAGTTTTAAAATATTGTAAATATAAAATTATTCTTGTAAATAAACAATCTAATAAATAAATAGCGTTTAATATTTAGTCTGTTACCCAGTGATGAAAAAAACATGTATTTTTCAACGTAATCTTATCCCTTGTCAATGTACTTAATCTATTAATCATGTGGATCAAACATTATATGGTGAAAATTTCAGATCAAAATTCAATAAATATTTCAGTGTATTGATTTAATAATCCATTCTTGTGTATGTGTGGACATCAGTACTGCATGGTGACACATTTTGAAGATTACTTGAACTGATGGTCACCATTCAGTGTTCATTCTTATGTCCATACTGTCTATATCTATAAAAGTTTTGATATTGAATACTCTTCCACCATAAATATAACAAATTTTAAACTATGTAGATTCAAACATGTTTCATTGAATAATATAGACATATTACGTCTATTTATTTTTATACTGACCATTTTCAGTTTTGTATTCAGTTTCTTAATGTTAAGATGAAATTCATCAAGGAAGGTGCTGTAGTTTTTTTCCTACCCAGGTACTTTTGATCTCCTTCATGATCATCCTCAGGAATAATTAACAAAGATAAACTTATTGTAACTATGATAAAATCTGTATTTCATTGTGAAGGTGATTTTTAAAAAACATGCTCTGTTATAATTATTATATAATTATCCTTGATGAATATCATCTTAACATCAAGAAACACATTAGAGAATTGAAAAAGATTAGTATAAAAATGAATAGATATAATATGTCTATATTATTCAATGAAACATGTTTGAATGAAGATATGCTGCTTAAATAAAATAATTGTCAGACTTTGTCCATTTCATAATATGTGACATCATTTGTTTACATTTGGATATGCATTGAGCAGATATGAATGTACATGAGAGATTCATAGAAGATTGTAGTTTAAAGACAGTAAATTCAACCTTTCTAACTGAACGCTCCTCCGTGGCAGGCCAAATCGGTTAAAGGCACGTCAAGCTAAATGATGGTTCCGTATAGGATACAAGTTCGATTCCTCTCGAAGGACAAATATTTTCTATGAAAATTTCTTGAACACTCAGGCCGGTAAATGTTATTAATACTGTTTATTATAAACAGAGCATTTACTTAAATATTTGTATCTATAAAGAAATTGTATAAACATAAAAATGTCTTAATACATATATATATATATATATATATATATATATATATATGAGAGAGAGGAGAACAATATTTTAATTCCTGTTGTTTTTCATTTTATTTTGTGCAGCTTTTCGAATCTGCCCACAGTTCACCTCCTCTCACAAAGTCAAATCCCACAAGTCCAGATGTGATGACCCAGCAGCCAACATCGTTCTCTGCCATGAATTCTTTCCGTGTTCCCCCAATTCAGATTGCCACTTTGTCTGGTACGAGTGAAGTCAGGATGAAGATGAAACAGAATGAAGCAGTTAGTGGACCAAAGGTAAATGCAATTGCAGAGAAAATCCATGTTGAATTTTTAAAAATATTTTATGCCATTTGCTTCATTTATAAAAGATAAGACTGAACATGAAGAAATCTTGAGTTTACCATTCATGTCAAATTGATAGACCTCATTTTCGTATATAATAATATAGAGAGAGATTTAATAGGCCAGTTAACAAAGTTTGAAGTTAAAAAGCCAACAAAATGATAACAATATTGTCAATAAAATTGATATTTATTATATATTAACCTTTTGACTGAATTGAAGCACAAAGAAATAGATTTTAATGTCAGAATTTTCAAACACTCTTAAAATGTAAAAGTATTTTCTAGCTTTAAATAACCTGCAAAAGGTTGATAGTCCGTAAAAAATAAATCAATCAATCATGTATATTTGGATAGTAATCCCTCTCTAATACATGTTTCCTTAAAAATGACTGACAACGTAGTTTTTTATTGTAGTTTTCTCATATGTAAACAACAACTTTTTTTGTTTTGATTTTTAAACTTAGTGAGTGCAGAAATTGTCAAATGTCTGTTCATTCTAAACACTTTCAGCAAATATATTAATCATTTTCAAGGTTTTGGGTTGTTCTGTTGTAAATGGTGTGTAAGTTACTGAAAGGTAGACATATTCTTAGTTTCCAAGTATAGCCAGTACATTGTGGCTGTTTTCATAAGTACTGTAGTTAAGGGTTGATATCTTGTTTTCTGTAAGAGCTTTTAATATTTTTTAGTTGCTATTACAGTTGGAGGTGCATCTATTTGTGTTTTCAACAAATATATTTTGTATTGAGGTATATATACTTCATAGAATTAAAATTTTGAATTGAAAATACAGGTTTTTCTCATTTGAGAACACCCTTTGTCAAATTGATTTTACAAATTGTAAAAAAAATAAAATAATCTTGAAATTGCATTATTTCTTTTGTTTATGTACATTCAAACATGTAAAGTTTATTTGCAAATGTTCCACTTTAGTTGTTGCTGTAATGAATTTTATTTAATTCATAATTTGTACTATGGTATCAGTGATGGCATATGTTACTGATTCTGTTTTTTAAGTGATACTAAGCAATAGAATGGATGGTTCTTCACAAATTTCTTCCAGATGTGTTTAGATATATTGATTCTTGTTCTCTTAAATTGCAAAATTGGAGAAGATGGTGACAGTTGTTGTTTTGTTAGATTTGGGGAATTTGAATTTTTCTTGCACATTGAAGAGCAATTCTATAAAAACTTATTGAACTGAAAATCTGGAACATTTGAAATAAAACATAATGTGAAAGTCTGGATATATCAGTGGCTGGAATAAGAGATTGAGGTTAACTTCTATGTGTTGAAGGTTATATTGCTGTAGCAGGATGACCTTTGGTGAATGGCTGGTTGACTTAAATGTTAAAGTTTATTTCATCAAAGTAGATTTTCTTTGCTTATAAGCTCAGGCCTTTTAACCATTTAATATAATGTTTTCTCAACAATTTCACACATGGAAAATTTCTTTCATTTGAGACAATTGTTCATTTCTTTAATCTTTAACTAATCAATCAGTTATATGCCATGCGTGATACATGCTTAGGCGATCATGTATCTTTCAATATATGTTTGACGAGGCAGATTTTTTTCCCACAGTAGGTTGCCATTCCTTTCTGTGGTAGACCAGTTGCCATCCAAGGCTTTAGAACCTGGTCTGTCCTGCTAATTACCCATAGCTGGAGAGAGAAGAAAAGGTTTCATACCTTTCCAAGTGAATGTAATGGATTTGACTGGAATTCGAACACATCTTTCTGATTTCTCAATCCGAGTTGCCATCCATTACTCCACCGTATATGATGCAGAAATCATCATATATTGTTCAGTAAATGTGCTTTCATTTGCTGAAGAGTTAAAATTGTTTTAAAATTTTGAATGAACAGCATAGTTTTTTTTTCCGTTTTTCTTCAAGGGAATAATTTTTTTGGATCATAGTTTTGATTATATTGAAATTAATATTTAATATTTAATATTGAAGTATTTTCTTCACCGTTTACAGCTTATTGAAAGGGATTTTTTTTTATCTTAAACGCTGATTTTGCAGTTGACTTTTCACCATACTGTCCATTGATTCCAAATTCTGTAATTAATGATGGAATGTAGAAATTTGATGGGTCGGTCATAAAAACCTTAGGATACTTTGAAGGGTCCTTGGAGTTGAAAGATAAATTTGAAGTAATACCTATAATTGTCACAAGTTGTAAAAAGAACCACGGACTTCTTGGAAACGACGTGCTTAACATAAATTCTACCAAATTAATGAGATAAAAATGGAAAAAACCGGAAAGTTAAAAAACTATAAAGCGAGTTTAAAATTAAAAGAAAATGTCTCTTCCTCTTATTATGAGGTATGAAAATTACCAGTACATTTGTTGCAATTAGTAGTAGCAAAACTACGAAAGTTAATAGAACAAGACCTTCTTGAACATGTTCCCCCTGGGGGTAGCAAGTGAGCATCACCCATTGTAGTTTTGAGGAAGACAGATGGTGATTTACGTATTTGTGGAGATTACAAAATAGGTGTAAATCACAAAGTTTGTTTGGATTCATATCCAACACTGAATGTTGAAGTTGCATTACACGCATTGGCAGGAATGAGCGTTTTTATAAAAATAGATTTAAAAACGGCATACCGCCAAATACCAATAGATGATAACTTCAAAGAAGTAACCACAATAAATGCGCCAATAGGGTTACCAAGATGGAAAAGAATGTCATATGGAATAAAAACCGCAAGCGCTATATTTCAAAGGGCCATCAAACAGGTTTTAGAAAATATGGAAAATATGATTTGTTACCAAGACATTATATGCATAGGATCTACTAATGAAAATGAATTAAAAAAGAAAACCGACATAATCTTGAATAGATTAAGAAATGCTGAAATGACAATAAATGAGAAAAAATGCGTAAGCATTTGTAGTAAAATATCTTTTTTAGGTTATTCCATTTCAAAAGAATGTATATCACCAGACCAGACCTTGATAGAAAAAATACTAAAAGTAAGCTACACCTACAAATAAAAAAGAACTGGAGTCTTTTTTGGGATTGGTGAATTTTTACAGGCGATATTTACCAAAATACATGGATTTGACTGAACCGTTTGCAAATTTAAGAAAGAAGAATGTTGAATTTATTTGGTCAGAGGAACAACAAAAAGCTTTTGATAAATTAAAAGTAATTATGGCAGAGAAGCCAGTAGTGAAAATGTTTGATCCAAAAAAGGATATTACGTTAACCACAGATGCAAGCGAACATTCGATATTGGGAATATTATCACAAGAAGGACATTCGATAATGTATTTATCAAGAAGACTAACGAACACCGAATTTAATTATTCAAATATAGAGAAAGAAGCATTGGCTATTGTATGGACAACTATTACAGGCCGACAATTTTTAATTGGAAAAAAATTTCTGTTAAGAAGTGATCATAGACCATTAGACTTTATATTTAACCCAAGGAAAGAATAACCCAAAGTCACGACATCGAGGATACTAAGATAGGCAATAAGATTGATGGCATTTGACTTTGATATAGAATATGTTAAAGGAAATTCAATTCCACATGTAGATGCACTATCAAGATTGCGATTTTACAAGGAGTCAAAGGACAAAACAGAAGAAGAATTTGAAGATGCATTCTTACATTGGGTAGAGACTGATGTTTTGTCTTTAGATAGAATGGCTGTGGAAACTAGACATGATCCAGTACTAAGTAGGATAATATTGAGAATAAGAAAAAACTCATGGGGAAATTGTTCTAGGGCGGAAAGACCCTACAAAGAAATAAGACAGAAATTAACAATAGAACATGGAGTGATTTGTAATGGGGATTTGGTAGTGCCCCCAGAAACACAAAGAAAGTTGGTAATAAAAAGTGTACATGATGATATACACTGTGGAGTAGCGGCCACACAAAAAAGGATAAAACTAGAAGCATGGTGGCCAGGATATTCAAGAGATGTCGAAGAATATATAAAAAGGTGCAAAAATGTAAAGAATTAAGAAACTTTACACAGACTACTTTACATTTGTGGCCCAGGGAAGTGGAACCATGGAGTCGGGTGCATATGGATCATGTGTATATTACTGGAGTTTGGATGAAGATCAAATAATGCAAGAAGATGCCTATGTTTACAGCGTAGCGTGGGATAGACCTAGGTCTCCCAGAGAAAGAAATTCAGGAGAGAGAGAAGTAGAGCAAAGTAATGAAACTATCACGAGAAGAAGTACAAGAACTACTAGAGGTATAAAACCTATACATTTCAGGGAGATATAGTGATACTGGCAAATTAATATGCATAATTTGCATAAGTGCAAGAGAAAGACTATATAACTGGTCACTGAGAATAACGTAAAAAAGAATACAAGTTTAGCGACTGACTAGTGCTAAACTTGGACATCACAACAATTTTATTACATGGTATTTGGGATGCTGGGTGGTTAGGGTGCTGGATGCTTGGAAATGGGTGTTGTCTGAGTAGCAGCATAAGAAGATTATGAATTGAATAAAGAATTTGTTTTGAAATTAGTAGATTAATATATAATAATTTTTTCTTATTCTCTCAATAAATTCTGTAAGATAAGGAAAAGGAGAGATTGCATTAGGAATACGTTTTGTCTAGTGGCATAAGATGCTTTAAAACCAAAATATGAACCTAGAAATGAAGTCTCGTTTTTAAATAAGCTCGTCAGATGAAAACTCTCATATGGATGTCAGGCATGATATCCAACTCATCCCAGTGTTGATTTTGAATTCAAAGTTGACGAATTGTCAACCCAGGCTAGAGAGTTCCATCTGTCCTGCCACTTAACACATAAAGAGGAGGGCAAGGGTAGGGGTTAAGAAATACTTTTTCCAAGGGTATCTGCAAAAGTGAATGCAACAACTGCAGCTAGATAAACATTACAGACACTCACACATTTTAATTAAAAATAGAAATGATTTTAAGATTTTTGTCTGCATGTATTTACAAATTTTCTATAGAGTTACCTGTTTTTTTCTTTTTTTTTTCTTTTTTTTTTTCAGTGTTTACAAGTTACCTGTCCTCATAGTAAAGGTAACAGACAGACACACTTTCACTGTCAACAGAACATTATTTCATAAAAATCAAATTAATTATCTTTCTCTTTGGTTTTTAGTTGGAGGTTGATGTGCAAATTGGTGCCTTGGATATTTTAATGTGTCCTCGCCAGGTTCACATCCTGCTGGAAATTTTGTCTTGTTTTACAAATCCAGGTAAGTTATTTTTTAAATTTTTTTTTTATTATCTCTAATGTTTCACCAAAGACACATGGCACAGTGGATAAAAGGCGTTAGTTAGATCCAGTGACAGAACCCAAAGACTGTGAGTTCAATACCTGGTTAAGGCAGTGGAGAACTTTCAGAGGGGAATTAACAGGGGATAACTGACATCCATTAGACATGGCACGTGGAACTAGAACAGAAATAGAGTGAGCGAAATAAAGAGTTCAGTTCGACATTCCAACCACCTGAAGAAGGCTGGAGCATACAACGGCTGAAATGTTGTGATAAACATGGCGACAAAGATGAGGACAATAGTCCGAATAATGTAAATAGTGCACTAAATCATTATCTAAAAATATAAATTTTTACAGTCTAAAAATATTTCCTGGCTTTAAATAACCTGCAATGGTTTTATAAGCCATAGAAAATGAATGAATGAATCAATTTACCCAAAGCAAGAGAGCCTAGTCTACCTTGTTATTTAACCCATATCTAAGGAGAGAAGAGATGGATTTATGCTTTTCTCAAGGACAGTCATATGAAAGTGAATGCAACAGACTAGGATCAAACTTGAACTTGGATTGTGGATTCCACTTTCCTTGCTGCCAATAACTATCTCTACATTCAGAAAACAAGAATACAAGATTATTTAAAGAGTCTAATAAAATTCCTTGCTTCATATTAATATTCCATTTTAGTTAGTGATTATAATTGCTAGTTGTCAATGATAAGATTCTTGCATTAAAAAGACCTGTGCACACATCAAGATTTGACTCTAGAACAAAATGATTTTTACCATTTTGAGAAGAAATAAAGAGAAAAGAAAATGAAACAAATACTTGCAATGATAAATATTTTATATAGATATTTTTTATTTATCTGATTTATTCATTTATTTTTTTCTCAATCATTTACACCAGCTTTCAAAATATGAGAGGGTGCTGAAATGTTCTCAATCTGCCACCCCCAAAACTCAATTCTGACCAAACATCAGAATTTATTTCAAAATCTCTTCTTGGTTGGGTCAGTAACTTTTCAGCACCACCACATATAGTCAACATATTTGCTTAAATGTAGGATTATGAATAATAAAGAATTTAACAGCCAATTCTTAAAAATAGATTTTGTAATTTATATGATACAAACAAAAAAAAATGTTGACTTGCAATTTTCTTTTCTTTTACTTAATATATTTGTTTTTTTTGTCCTCACTTATTCACTCACATTTTCTCATACATAATCAATGTTTATGTATGATGTTTCTAAAATTTTCTAACTTTTGTTACCAAAATTAATGTTTTAATTTAATGTTGTAGATGCTGTTACAATAGCATTTACAACAGTTGTAGACAAATTGCGACCACATTTGCCACATGTGGCTCAATTCAGCTTTCTAAATGGCATGCCTAATTTTCATGAGGGAAATAATGTTTAATAACATTTTGTCTTTTTTTTTCATGTTGTCCCCACTTGTTCACTCACATTTTCTCATACATAACCACATACATAAACAATGATTACGTACAATGTTTCTTGAATTTTGTAACTTTTTGTTGAAAGTAATGTTACACATCATTTTAAGCTATTGGTGATTTTCATTGGAGAAGGAATATATTTTTATTTGAAAAATTATTTTTTGTATTTAGAAATGAATAGATGAGAAACAAATCATAGTATCAGTGTGTTAATCAATGTCATCTGTGATGATAATATTATACTGAAAACTTAATTTTTTAATTTTTGAGAAATCTTTTCTCCAAGAACAATCAACTCTTCCTTATTTCTAAGATAGATACTTATGTGTAGATTATTCTGTAGTGAAAATGACTGAGGTACTTTCAATGAAAAATTACCTTGAATCTTTTTAGTAGTGCTGCCCACCTTATGAAGAGCCAAATCTGATGCGGCCCACTAGTTGGAAAAGGTCGCCCATATCTAATCTACAATATCACTAATGTTTAGTAATTTCAAAATTCAGTGGTGTATAATGTGTTGAGTTTACAAGAAAATACTAAGGTAATTTTACTACAGTTTTAATAGGCACATAGCCAAATGGTTGGAGCATTGGCATTCCAATCATGAGACCCAGATTCAAATCTCACATGGGCAATTAATCAAGGAGGTGATTTCTTGGTAATATCAGCCTGGTAGAACCGACCACACTATGCATCACTGTTGGGAAGCGCCTGGAAACTGTTGACTCGAACCTTGTGAGCGAAACTAGATAAATGTAACTGTTTGGAACCATTCAGTACTTGCATAAAGTCATAAATTCTTACCTTATGGGAAGATAGAAACTCTTAATCTTGGTTAACAATCTATTAAGAGATGGTGACTCTAAAAAAACACCCATCCCCCAGCAGCCTGGCGACTTTAAGAGATATATCAGCCTAAAATCTCACAATGACTGAAATTCTTAATAAAGAGAAATCAGTCACATGGTTTTGTAATGGTGGCAATGTTATTATTATTATTATTAGTAATTTTTATTATTTGTTTTTTCAGCCTCTTCCATGGTTAGCCCAACACGTCCCTGTCGGACCACAGATAAACCAATGAAGCAGATGGACTATTTGCGTGTGGAAGATCAGTTACAAAAACACCTTATGTCAACCAACACAAAGTATAATTTAAGTTTGTCAGATATATCAGATGAAGTGACCATTGGCTTACAAGGACCAGGTAATCAAATAAAAAATAAAATTCATTAATTTTGTCATCCAATGCAAACATTTTGGCATTGCAGGTTGAGTATCCTTTATCTGAAATTCCCAAATCTGAAAGTTTTTCAAGTGCTGACATGATTTGCCACAAAGGGAAATTTTCAGAAGGCACTGGAAAGGTTCCTAGGTGATGTGCAGCTGTTGTAAGTGATCTCATCTGCCCTGTGTGAGGATTCCCCAGCCCAGCTATGTAGCCTACGTTGGCGCCAGTTTTTTCTTAGTGATTGTCACAGCAACACCATTTGTGGATTACTTAATTTCACCACTTAAAAAATCTGTAGGAGCATTACATGACTAGCATCTTTATCTGTATGTACACAAAACTTATTAAATTTTGGTATATGTATAAAGTTTATTATGAAATGTAAAGGGATAGCATATTTATATTCTTGGGTTCCTTTCCCAAGCTGCACCATTTTATAGATGCTATATAAAAATTAAATAGCCTGTATTCCAAAATCTAAAAAAACTGAAAACCGAAGCACTTTTGGTCCCAAGAATTTCAAATAAAAGATTCTCAACCTATATAGAATTTTGTCATCCAATGCAGGTAGTATCATTTATAAAAAAAATTAAAATGCTTATATACTGTACAAAATATAATTAAATTTGCTAGAAAATAATATGGAGATCAAACATTAACCTGAAAATTCTTTGACAGGGAGAAAAAGACCATAGTTTCTGAAAATCTGCCAGAAATATAGGATTGAAAAGGACTAGTTTCTGGAATTATAATGGTAAAATTAATCATTTACATACAGGAAACATTTGGTACTCATTGACAGAACAGTTAGTGTTGAAATTTATAAAATATTTCTCTTAAATCAGTTTTTCATGGAATTAGACTCCTCAAGTCCTCTGTTATTGCTCTTTCTAGTATAACACTGTGGGATGTTCTTTTCCCTGTGCTACATGACAACGCCATCCCGCCCTCAGTCACAAGGTGTGTCAGTGATTGAATCCTGCAGCTAACTCTCCAGTTGGTCACTTTGATCCGTGCTTCTCCCTGTCTCACATTGTTTGTTTTGATCACAAGGCAGGCAAGGATTGAATCATCGCCAGATATTGTTGGACTAATGTTATTCAGGTGGGATGATGTTAGAAGACAAAAAAAAAGAAAAGTTGTGTAGATCAACAAGGTTCATATAAATGAGCTTTATTCAGGAACACTTTTTTGTATAAGAATCTACTAGCTTGCAAGCTAATTTCGTGACACTTTGTTTTTTGTTTCGAAGTTGGAGTTGAGGTTTCACGCTTTAAGTCGGAGACTTCTTCAAGCAGCAGAATGTTGACGAAGCACTCGTCTCCCTCTCTCTGTATCATTATAGAGAGACTTTCAATTCTTCCACTTTGCAATTTCATTAGGGCAATTGGCTCAATTTATCTAATAGGCATGAGTTGGGATTTCTCCCTGGCAGCAAGTCACATGGGGATCAGCAAAACGATTGTCTCTTCCTGGTGTAATGGAAGAGAGTCTCTGCTTCAGCTGCTACTCTCAATTTCCCTATTATCTGATGCTTTTATGGACTCTTGCCCAACATCATGGTGGGGTCTGATGGGATCTGGGCTTCCAGGATTTTTTAAATATCCAATCAGAATTTACTGCTGACAGTGTCCTGGGTAGCAATTTGCATGTTCAAATTTGGGGAATCCTTCCTTCCGAGAGTAGTGGTAGTAGTGTATCAACCTGTCTCACTTACTCTCTCCTTCTCTTATTTGTACTTTATACCAACACCCCTCAATGGGCATAGTCTATTTTCCCCCACTCTCTTTTGTTCACCAATCAGGGTCCTTGGACTGGGTGGCATGACTAGCATGTATTTGTTAATTAAAATTATCTGTTTCAACTCTACATCATCAAAAATGCCCTTTTGTCATAAGGTTTTGATATTTTCCAGAATTTTCCCCTTGGACAATTATAATTTCTCTCTTTTCTTTGGAGGTTGCTTGTTCAAACTGTTATCAAACTGAATATTGACTGAATTCTTCATCATTTGAGTCTAAAGAAATTTCTCTTCTCTAGTGACATACACACACCTTCCACCTCTATCAACAAGTGACATAGAATCATTTCTTTACCCTCTTCTTCACCACATATAGCCATAAAAATTATTATCCATGGTTGACTCGGTGGTCTCGGCCCAGAAATGCCAATCCTATTCAAATTGTGGATGTTACTTTAACCAGATGTCCAAGTGGATTTTAGCACTATCTTCTAGCGAGGCCCTTTATTCACAAAATGAGAAAAAAATAAAAGTATATTTTTTGTTTTCAGTATGTCCTTCAATCTATTTATGACCCTCTGTGTGTTCACTTTCAATTTAATTTAAGCCTTTTTTTCTCTCTTCAAATTATTAGCATTCTTACAGCGTTACACTAGTAATGATGGAAGTTTCCTTCCAAACCTTTTATTTAAGGTAGCATGGAAAAATGAACATTTTGATTATATCATAATTTTTCCTTCTAGTTACATGTCATAACCATTTTAGTTGTTGCTGCTGTTGAAAGTGTTCAAGTGATGCCGTTTTTGTTTGGTAATGTTTTGTGATTTTGTGATGTCAATCTATAGAGTTTGATGAAGAATCATCACCTTAAGATTTATAACATTTATTCATTTGAAGCTATTTTAAACATTTATGCAAGGAAATAGTTGTATATAGATGATAGTTTAGACATTTCTGAACAAGTTGTGCACCATGCATGACATTTATATAAGAGTCTAGAACTGAAAAGGCTGTTTAAGAATATGATTTGAGTTCACAGGTCAATATTTTGGTTTTGTAGCATCTTATGATACTAGGAAAAAGTACTTCTAGCAGAACTTGTGTTCAACTTCTTCACCTCCTATACTAAATTTACTCTGACTAATTTCTCATCTACTATTAACCTGTGTAATTGTATAACTTCTCCATAATATTGGTCCTGCTTATAGTTTATAATGATGCTGTCAAAAACACTGAAGCAATTTTATTTAAAATATTTAATCTTCCAGTATTAAATTCAGTTTTGGTGGTGTAGTTATATATGAATCATTTCACCTCAAGCAAGGTGACAATGCCACAAAGATGCAAGACATTACTGGGAGTGAAAGAGAATGAGAAAACTATAGTCAGGAGAAAGGGATATAAAAGAACAGACTTTAGGAAGACAAAAATGGCGATTGACATTGCATTTAAAGTTTTGAAGGTTGTTGATGTCAGGGAAACAAGAAATCAGAAGAGACTTCCACAGGTGAGAAGTGTGAGAAAAGAAACTATTAGAATAGAAGTTATGGTTACATCAAGTTAGTTCAACAGTAAAATGATGAAACCTAGTTGGCAAACTTGTAGCATTCATGCAGTCAAGGCACCAAGGAGGAAAGCTCATCAGAACAATTGTCATGAAAATATTGGTAGAAAAGACAGAGAGAAGCCATATCATTGTGATGGGAAAATGACTGAAGCCAAGATTCCAGATCAGAACTGATTACATTACAGATCCATTTTTGGATTTTGTTGAGAATCTCAAGATATTTAGCAGGAACACCAGATTGGATATGGCAGCAATATGGAACCATCCTAGCCTGAACCTTAACCCACAGAGGAGCGTTCGGTTAGATTGGATATGGCATCAAATGTAAACAAATGACGTCAATATGGGACAAAGTCCAACCTTGCTAATCAACATTCCTCTGTGGCGAAATGGTTATAAATGATGGTTCAGAGGGATACATTTGATTCCTGTCGGAGGCCGAAAATTTTCTATGTTTCTATAAAAATGAATGTTTATAAAAACATTTAAAATATTTGTGTCTATAAAAGAATGTATAAACATATATATATATATATATATATATATATATATGAACACTCACTTGTACATTTACCTAAAATTATCCATTTGATTATATACATACATATATATATATATATATATATATATATATATATATATATATATATATATACAAATGACAAAATCATTCATACACTCATCAATATCGAATATTTTTATCTATTTCTCAGAATCTAATGCCTGTATGATGCCAGGTTTTTTATATGTTAATAAACACACAAAAAAGGAATATAAAACTTAATTTTTCAGAACAATTGGTTAAATACAACAAATTTGACAGATGAATTATGCAAATCAGGAAAAGACAATTATTCATACTGTATGAAAATAGAAAAAATTGAACAATTTTCACAATATTAATAGTTAATAGAATAGCCTCTCATCTTTATAACTTGCTGCAATCATTTTCTAAAGTTTTTCATGAGATTTGAATAAGTCTTTTCTGGGACTGACTATTTGTTTGAACTTTCAGTTCTTGTCAATAGGATTCAAGTCAAGACTCATTGAATGTCATGGCAGAACTGTAATCTTCTTTTTCTGAATCCACACAGTCACTGATTTAGGCATATGTTTTGGATCATTATCTTGCTGGAAAGTAAATCACCAACATAGATGAAGATTTTGCACTCATAGTTGTAGATTTTCATCCAGAATTTGATATAGTCTGCAGATTTCATTATTCCTCTTATTACAATTAATTGTCCAGTTCCCCTTGAGCTAAAACAACCCCAAAACATCATCGAACTGCCTCCATATTTTAATGTTGCCACTCTGTTCCTTGGGAGGAAACGCTCACTTTTCTTGCACCAAATCTTCTGTACATCATTATGTCCAAAAAGCTCCATTTTTGTTTCATCACTCCACAGTACTTGTTCCCAAAAGCAATTTTTTTTGTCTAAGAATGTTTGGCAAAGTTAAACCGAGCAACAATGTGACATGGTTTGTGAAGAGGGGTCTGTTGTGGTCAGTTTCCATACAACCCATTTCTATTTAAACAATGTTGTATTGTGTGAGTACTTAGGCTGATATCCATTGTATCCAAAACTTTTCAATGTCTTTCAAAACAACTCTTGGGTTTATATTAACCTTGCGACAGTTTTCATGCAGTTTTCGGTGACAATTTGGGTTTTCTTTCACACCCAGGCAAATTGTCTGTTGTGCCAAACTGTTTAAAATTCTTTATAGCGTAGATCTAGGGATAGCTAACCACTTTAAAATAGTGCTGTAACTATTTCCTGACTTGTGGAAGTTAATAATTCTTTGTCTCAAGTCAACACTAAGCTCCTTTGTCTTCCCCATTGTGTTGTTAACAAAATAATAAAAATGGTGACACTCTATGCACAACATGATGTTCTTTGCTGGAATTGTCACAAATATTTTACTGAATAAATAGTCTAGAAGGCTTCCCCAATAAAATAATTAGGCAAATTACTTATACTTAAATGAATCAATCAATTTGTTGTATTTTACGTATTGTTCTGAAAATTGAAATTTATATTCCTTTTTTTGTGCTTATTAACATAAAAAACCTGGCATCATATGGGCATTAGATTCTAAGAAATGGATAAAGATATTTAAAATTGATGGGTGTACGAATAATTTCGTTGTTGACTATATAAGAGAGAAGGGAAGGGGAATTGTAAATCTTTTGTCTGACCAAGAAGCTCTTAAACAAAAACAAGAAAAAAAACTAATGGTAAGTTAGGTTATTTTGTCAAATTGTGGAAAGTATGTCAGCTGAGAACTTTTCAGCACTCCCTCATCTCTTTTTCTCTCTCTCTTTTTGTATGTATATATACATGTCTATCAACCTATGTATCTCTTTCTCTGATGTGTTATGTTTCTAATTCTCTAAATTATACACGTGCAAAGTGGGAGAGTTATGACTATATTACAAGTATTGTATTGACCTATCAGATATAAAAGATGAATAGATCTTTAAAGATGTTACTGTTATAGATATTAATGATGTTTCATGTTCTAGTTAATAATTTTTTATATAATAAATGAATTGTTAATTTTATTTATCAGATGACTGTGAAGAAGGTGAAGAAATGTTTTATTCTTTGTTTCCAAGCCACAAAGGTACGGGACTTGAATCTATGGAATCTTCTACATACAGCAATATAAGTGAAAAATCCACATCCACAGCAGGTAGGCAGTTGCTCTGTGATTTGTTCATTTCTCCTTTTTTTTAAGATGTCACTTTGTAGAAGTCCAACAATGTTCAGCTCTGTGTTGTGCTATTACTAGTAGTAGTACATTATTATTATTATAATTATTATTAAACAATGATTAACATAATATTCCAATATGATGCAACACTGAGAGAAGAGCACAATTTAAGAAAAGAAAAAGAAAAGACTGTTTACATTATTTATATTATTCAGACTGTTATCCTCACCTTCATTGCCATATTCACAACATTTTGGCCATTGTATGCTCTGGCCTTATTCAGGTTATTGGAATTTCGAATTGAACCCCTTATTTCGTCTATCAGGGTAGATTGTTCTAGCTCCACATGCCATGCCTCTTCCAGATGTCTCTCTTATTTCCCTTTAACTCAACTCTCCACGTTTTTTGGTTCACCGTCACTGTAGTCTGGTATTGAACTCACAACTCTTTGGGTCCAGTCACTGGATTTAACCAATGTCTTTATCCACTGGGCCAAAGCGTACAACGGCTGAAACGTTGTGAACATGACAATGAAGATGAGGATAATAGTCTGAATAATGTAAATAATCATAATACCTCATCTCAGAGATATAGACAGAGAAGAAAAGACAGTGTTTGACAATTTTAATATTATTATTATTTCAACCCTTACAATACATGAGGATAGTTACATATGCAAGTTACTAACTTCCTGCCCCAGGGGAATGAACATAATGACAGGAGAGCCCCATAAGATTTATACTAAGCTCTTTGATTAATTCCTCTTAGTAACTAATCAACTAATGGAAAATTTTGAGATGAACAAGATTACCATCATATTAAGCACATTTCAGTTGCATGCCTTCATGCTAGTGGCTTTTTTTCATTACAAGACACGCAACATTTGTATAAAGACTTACAATTTTTTGTAGATTTATATATTTTTGTACTTGAAAAAATTTTTAGATATAATTTAAAGACAGACATTCTGTTGAAATATTGTTTAGCATTGTCAAACACTGATTTTTCTTTTCTTAAATTTCACTCTTCTTGTAAGTGTTTAAAAATATTGGAATATTATCATTTACTATATAAAAATGAGGGAAAGAAAGGTACTTGACAAATTTATACCAAACATGATTTATTTTCTTAAATTTATCAGTCAAAGCTGTTTTGGAAAGATTATAAAAATATATATTATGAGTTGGGGAAAAAAACAATCCAGATGTAAAAATGTAAAGTTTAATTACAGGATTTTAAAATTTATTTTTAAATTGTTTGTTTCATGATTTCATCATTCATTTTGATATGTATTTCGTTTTTAAAAATCCTATTCAATATTCCTCATTCTGAAAGCTTAGGTTACACATTGGCCAGATGATATTCTGATTAAAAAAAAATCAATCATGTCGTGTCAACTGAAGATATGTATACATGCACCTGTTTCTTCTGAAGAATTTAAAAGAGAAATAATTTTCATAAAATATACTGACATAAATAGTCTTCTTTGACATATTACATAACTATTTTATGATTAGAAATTTGATACAGTCATAAGTTTGTTCATTCAAAAGAAAGAAAAAAAATATAGCAACAAATTATGTATTTGTCTGTAACAAATACAAGATAAAAAGTGCAGTCACAAAATTGAAATTGCAAATAAAATGAATTAATTTTATTGTGAATTTTAATAGCAATTTAATATAATTTAAATACTTTTAAGACATTGCATTATTCAACATATTTTTTTTAAAATAATCTTTGTTTTATTCCTTTAGCAATTATAAATTTAACTATTGTCCATAAAAATATATCTGCAAAATTAAAGTTACATTTTTTGCTTATAGGACTTTGGTTTCTATACTGTACATGAATACTTATTACTTACTGGGTAATCTAAAATTATTTTGCATTGATTTTTGTTCTTTCAGCATCTGGAATCAGTTCTTCCACCAGATCAAGGCAAAATTACCAATCTGGTAACAGATTATCAAAAGGTTATCATCTATATTTTCCTTTTATTAAGAAAATATTTATTTTGATTTTAAATATTACAGGTTATTCAGTTAGTCAATAATACCATATGTAAGACACACTTGGGTTATGATGTCTCTTTCAATTCATAACTGACTAGGCAGGTTTCCCCGCTGTAGATTGCCATTTCTTTCTGCAATAGACTGGTTACAAATCAAGACTATAGGACCAAGTCTGTCCTCCTCTTCTACCATGATAACAACAATCAGTCAGACAGTTAAGTGACTTACATGATACACACTTGGGCGGTCATGTCTCTTTCGATTCATGACTGACTAGGCAGAAAATTTTCTCACAGTAGGTTGCTATTACTTTCTGTGGTATACTGATTGCCATCCAAGGCTATAGGACCCATTCTATCATGCTATTCAACCCATAGCTGGAGGAAGAAGAGATATATTCATATCTTTCCCAAGTATTTGCACATAAGTGAAAGTAAAGAACCCAACTGGAATTTGACATTGCCATGTCTAATATACTATTGAATATAATAAGTATTGCATTTTAGATCATAATAATTAAATATATAATAAAATGATTTAATCATACTAGAGGCCCCTTTAAGACAGTCCTAAAGTATTAAAAAAAAAAAACAGGAAGTAATGGTAACATGTCTAATACAAGACGGCTCATCTAGACAAGCATGAATGACATACCCACACCTAACCTCTAATCTACATTTTTTCACTTTTCTACCTAGATCTGTCATTGGATTCGTCAAATAAGACAACACCCATAAAAATAATTTTGAAAACTTATTCCCCATCCTAATTAAATTCTTCAATATAATACTATTTTACTTTTATTATTTTCTCAAGTTATTGAATATCACTTGAAAATGGAACAATAATTTTAGTTCTGAAACATTGAAATTTCTGTCACAATGAAAAAATATTTTTAAATCATAATATTATAATATTATGCTCTACGTTGTATTGAGCACTTTTTAAAAAATAAATGCTAAAGAACTGTGGATTATTAATCTGACTGTTCTTTCTATTTATATATATATATATATATATATATATATATATATATATATATATATATTAAAATCCGACAATTATTTTAAGACATTTTATGTTTAACATTCTTTTATAGATACAAATATTTAAGTAAATGCTCTGTTTATACTAAACAGTATTAAATAACATTT